ATAAAGAAAAAAGAAGTAATGCTTTTTTTTTACCCAATTAAATTTATAGCTTTCGCTGCTTAAATAAAAAAAAGTTTTTGCTCAAATGCGTCAATAAAAGATGACTACTAAAAAAGTAAGGATTATATCTATTATGAAGGCAAATGTTTCCTTAAGGGCTACATAATACAGGAGAGAGAAGATATTGAATAGGCTATTATTTCTTTTTCTTTGTAGCAATGTTATTTTGTATTTTTTTTTAACAAGTAAAATGGATGGGGTTTCTCCCCCTAATCTCCCCCCAAAGTCACAACACTCTATTGTTCATGTATTACACAAAAAAGTGATATGCACTTGACCTCAAAGATTCCCTTTTTGTTAGATTGTCATACTGTAATCTGACAGCTTTCCCACCAAAGTCACGACTTAGAAATAGATGATTTCGCTCGATTCTTTTCACAAGAGAAAAAGGACAGAAGGGAGATACTCAAGGAGAGGTTAAGGGAGTAAATGGAACTAGGGATGATTCATAAAGGCGTGTCTACTCCTATTCATTGATCAAATGACGAATGAAATATAAATACGCAAGTAAGTCTATTTTACAACACATGTATGCACTCTTCCCAATTCCTAACTATGCGCAAGGTTTAGAAGAAAATGTTGTCAGTTTCTATAGTAACTTGATCAAAGTGCGCTCAGTCCATCTTGAGGCACATGATAATGCTAAAGTCTATTTTGCCGTATATATGTCCGTACATTCTATGCCAGCGATAACATGGTTTAAGAAAATAAAAGTGGGATTCAATTTGATTGTGCAATTCGTACTTTATTGCTGATGATCACAAAAGAATATAGAGAAAGAAAGGAGGAAAAACCATAACTGGATCTTTGTGATGACGCCCATTAAGAAAAGAGTTCTTCCCCCTTTTCTTTGTTTCCCTTCTCCTTTATCGAATTCTTTGCCTTTTTTTCAGTAAACTATGACATGATACTTTCGTTCATTTGTAGCACTTATCGTAACTCAGTTGTTGTATACTATAGTATCACTTTACAAAAGTTTTATCCATATACAGAAATAAGTTTAGCTATCCCCCTAATATATGCTGTAAAATGATGTAATGCTGTCCTGCTTGAACTATTATTATCAGAAAAAATATGCAAAGAAAAAGATTTTTTTTTTTACCATCTGAACGGACCGAGCACGCGACGATGTGAGCGCTGTCTTACCTTGATCCCGTCCTACTCTTTTTTTTCTTATGCATATTGCACTTTCGATAAGAGCCTTGGGGCACAGGGAAAAATAAGTACCTATCAGTACATGAGCAACAATATCATTGCTGCGCTTACTAACAACTACTAATCTTACCGTGCACCTTTGCCAGTTGATTCAGTATATGATGATACGAGACATGCAGAGTCAGAGTTGCGGCTTCACAACATAGACGTCGGACTCAACGAGACGATGGAAACGAAGCCTCTACCGAGCCAAGGGGCAGACCCAGAGCAGACCCTGTTGATCATACCTCTGCTGCATAGGGGAATGCTACGCGCGCTCCGCTTTTACTAGAGACATCCATTTTGTGTGTGTCAGGCTCCGTTTCTTCAATATTTGTTAACATAATTAGATGAGCTTTCAGTTTTGTTATACGCTCATCATGCAAGCCGATTAAACAATAAAGGTTTACTATTGAGGGGACTCATTAAGCAAACTAAAGCTGTATACAAAAATGGGTGTCTCCAGTACAAACGGAGCCTGGCACACACAAAAAGGGTGTCTCTAGTAAAAGCGGAGCGCGCGTAGCATACATCACGTAGTTTTTTTGCCTTCGACCTTTGAGGCTTGGACTCATGGATAAGGGCTATCCTCCCATTCATACATCCTGTACTGGATTAATGAAAGGCAAAAAACATCCTCGCAGCACAATCCCATTTAGGAGTCCTGATGTAAACAGGGCTCAGTCCAACCATCTCTCTTACCTCAGCCGCCTGAGCAGTTGATGGGCCGTTTTCACTAGAATGGACAACGTCGCCACTTCAAGGACAGCCTACGTCAACACAACACTACCTTTGCCTTTACTTCTCTGGTCTGCGATGTTGTTTTATCTGAGGATCGTGCCAACAACAACGACAACAATAAAAACAGAGGCGGTTTAAACGCTTTTCAGATCCATGACGCGCTTTTCTACCGTCAATGCTCCTTGATCCCAGTTGAGTGCAGCTAATCCGGAGATCATTAGAGAGGTTTTGGCTATGTTTGCTCAGTATAATCTCTTCACCCGTATTCACCGTCATACTTATAGGATATTGAGCAACTATGAGAGCACCAGCAGCGAGGATAGATCTAACAGCGATGGATCTATCCAAAGCGACCCATTCTACATCAGATTAATTGAAAGGGGCGATATACATATTCACAACTTGCCAACAATGCAGGTTATTATGGTGTAGTTTGGAAATCGCGATGTGAGCAGTGCATTAAATATATTGATATTTTTGTTTACAAATCAAGACACGATATGAAAGCTCTCGCTTCAGAAGATCTTCAAAAGTCTAGTGGTACCGTGGATTTAGTGTGCTGTGCATTCCTTAACGTCTCGGTAAGTGTAAAACGATAATACGTTATTTTTTATTCATTAGTCTTCTAGTTAAATGGGCTATTTGTATTACCAACTTTAAATGCTCCCTCCCCTCTTTTTACTAAATTAAATCCTGTTTCGTAATACTTGGGTTCTACATAGACAGAAGGCTCTCCTTCTCTTCTGATTATACACTTTTTTATTTTACATCTATTGGGTGTCCTTTTGTTCTTGAGCTGATTTTTTTTTAAGATATCTCGCTTTCTTTAGCGCCTTTCTTCTCTTCTTTTCCTTTTCTAATTTTGCTTTTTTCCTCTGTTCTTTTTCTTCTGGACTTGGCTCCTTGTTTGCTTCAGGCACCTGTCAAGAGTTGATTACGTAAGCATTGGTTAGATGTGCTTTATGAATTCTTACCTGTTCATCGGATGGTAACTGTCCGGTTTTGATTAGGTATCTTTCGCGTCGACGATGTTGTCGACTTTGTAAATGGACTTCAACTTGTTTTTCATTCTTTAGTTGTTTATCAGGACAAATATTACAGGTATATGTCTCGATCGTTTGTCCATCCTTTTCTTCTTCTTCTTCTTCTTCTTCTGAAGAGGATTCTGCGCCTGCATTAATGGCTGCAATTAATGCTTTACGAGCCTTCTTCTTTTGCCGCCTTGTCTCTTCATCGTCCGAATTGTCACTATCTGAATCTGTATCTGTATCTGAGAATACACCAGCAAGCTTCTCTTCCTCATCATTAGGATCAAATTCGTTCTCTTCAATATGCTGCTTGGCTAATTCCTTTCGAACACGTTTGAACATTTTAGATTAGAAGCTTTAGAAAAACTGTTTTATTGTCTTGTATAGAGTGACGGTTTTTCTTTTCCAAAAATGGAGATCATGTACTTAAAAGTTAAACAGCGAAAGACGCAGGAACTGTTTCATCTATCATATTTAGTGTTGAAATACTAGTGCGATAAAAGTGCTCAGCGTGTCCCTTGTCAAAACGATTGATGGACACAAGCACTTCACTTATATAGAATGAAAGTCTACTACAAATAGTGAAAAGGCCCCCCTCATTCAAAGAAACAATTCTTTTTATAATACAGTCGTAATGTGCGTATTCCCATATAAGGTAGTTCGCTCAGATCATTATACAAATTTAGAAATACAACCGATCCACTTGAGTGCTTTGGGGGACAAGGCTGCAAACGTAGCGTTTTAATCTAAACTCTTAAAATCTCCTTCTATTGTATACACTTTATTCACAAATTATTCTCACACTGATAAAAAAATGATAATTTCAGACAATAAATGAGACAATAAAATAATGATAAAAAAGAGCCCATCAGAAGCAAAAGAATGAATAAAGAAATGATTAGTAAATTAGTTATTTACATTGATATTAAATACTTACATTATAAAGAAGAGGATTTATAAGAGAAAAAGAGAAGTCAAGATCAAACTATTTACATGAAGTCTCTAACAACTTTTTCAATTGCGTGTTATTTATGCGTTGATCACATTTATCTTCCTTTCTCTCAAAAAGACAAAATTCACCGCCTTTTTAATAATAAAGAAAGAATTGATAATCAACTAAAGTGCGATCGCTATTGGTTTTATGTATTCTACGTTCTTAGAATGGTACATCATGGCTGGTCCCACTAGAAGAGCCCGTCATTTCCAGTTTTAGACAAGCTGGGTACTTTATTACCAGAAAAGTCACGGTAAAAAACTCCTCCTTCACCTCTGTTGTCAATGGTTTGAATCTCTTCCCTTTAAACGAATTATTAAAGTTTTATGGTAAAATAAAACCCTTTTTACCCTGTTTTAATCTAACATGAGGACGTGTAGAATAGCTGGTGTACTATTAATAAAGGCGTTGTTGTCAGCAAGAAGGCAGAAAGTGGAGCACAAGTAACAAAATTACAAATAGTTTCAATTGTTATGTTGAACCCCATCATTAGGTAGAGGAATTAGTGGTTATTTATGAAGAAGCACTAAGACTACAACAAAAGGGACACATGGATGAAGCCAAAGCCAAGTATAAAGAACTGATCGATCATAAGTACTTGAAGAAGGAAGCAAAGAATGTAAAAAATACGCGCGTGTAAAGTTGTTTCTTAACATGACATTAGATGAAAAATACAAAGAGCAACAATGATACTGAAGATCAGAATTCACTCATATCAGCTTTATTCTATGTTGTTTCCAAGAATTATGCATCCGTGTTGGAAGACGAGTATATCAAGAATAGCGACATTGATTCTGCAAAAGATGCCCTGAAATACTACTTACAAGTAGAATAATAAAAGCAAATCCTAGTATATACACTTTACTGATATGCAAATATGATTTAGGCAGTGGAAATTGATCCTACAGATCATTCAGTGTGGTATAGCATTGGACAACTATCAAGAAAATTAAAGAATCTACGCTTCGCCAGACTGGCCTATGAAAAAGGAATGCTTGCAAACAGTACAGGAAAGAATGTTTTGGATATCATTCGTGATCAGTTGACTCCAATTCAATGGAAATGCCTTGAAGGCATCTGCACAGTAAGTGGCAGTTTTATATTCTTGTACATTATTTTAACTGTTATGTAGGTATTATATGATATCGGTGACTTTTACACTTGTCGTTATTATGTAGAAGGTGCATTGAGATACTATCCAAAATGGGAAAGAGGTGAACTATTATTGGAAAATATGAACAGTGAGCACATGATGGAATCAATGGATATGGAGCATGACCAGGAAGATGCGATACCAATACATGTAAAAATAGAAAGACCCGACCTATCCGTACTGATGGAAAAGTTGTTTGCTGTCTATAAGAAGCAATCAACTGCGAATAACCTAGAAGAAGAGATCGAAGATGAGTCTCTAGAATGCGATATAGACATAAGCAATACATCATTTATAAATGCTGCGATCAAAATAACAATTGACAAGCGTGATGACGATTTCAGAACAATACCCACAAGAGAAGAAGTGATCGTGCCATCTTTGGTCAGTAACCCAATATCCGCCCCAGTGATTCAACCTGTAAACGCAGAAGAAGGTATATCCAACGGTATAGCCATAAATCCACAAAAAAGAAACAGAGAAGACGATGCAATAGCGGTAGAAGACGAAGATAGTGAACAAGAAGATAAAAAACCAAGTCTCAGGTATGCTTTTATAGTTATTATCAAAGAAGAAAAGGTGTTCACTTTGTAAAAATAGAACATCAAGACGCAAGAAGGAAAAATTATTGAATAATGAAACTTCTCGGCTAAAAATGCTCGAGGAAGAAAAAGAATTCAACGCAAAAATGCAAAGATTTTATGAATCATTAAAAGACATACCCAGCTTGTACAGAGACAACCCATGGTTTGAACCGCAGCAATCCGTGATATCCGTACAGCCTAGCTTTTGGGATTGGTTTGATATAAAAATAGGTGAATTAGAAAGCACATATTGCTGGGACATGGATGGAAAAAAGTAAGAAAGGATTAAACAAGTTAGAATGATAACCAACATATTTCTTCAAAAAAGGGGCGATCTTGACTCTCTTGAAAGTAATAGTAAAGGAAAAGGTCTGACCTTATTTTCATTAAATCATACCAAGAGTGGGAGTCATGAACAGCAATTTATTCGCTTTGTGAAAGAGACTATTCACAGGTTGAATGAAAATAATTCAGGTATTGTGGATACCCTTTGTAGATTGGTTAGTGCAGTAGTGAAAAATGATATGGATCTGGACAATGATACGCCATTCTTAAGCAATAACCTGTTGGAACTCATAACCGACATCATTATTGCTCTTGACATGAATTTCGTAAACTGTATGACATGTGTGGATGATGATGAAAAGGCTCTGGTATGCTTATGATTCGATTATACGAACCACAGATTGACCCCCCTTTTATAGATGACACTTCGAATTTGCGAATATTTTATCGATAGATTGGTTCGAACCATCATGGTGGCGACACACGAAACGAGTCCTCATGTTGGCTTTTCGACGAATTACAAAAAGAAAATGTCAAACTTGTTATCAAAACAATCCAAAGTGAAACAAATTGAGAATCTAATGGAGGCTACCAAAGTGTGGATGGACTTGCTGGAGCGTATATTTTTCAACCTGTCTACACAGTGGATTCAATCCAACGTGAAGACAGAGGCACCCGAGGAAAATACAATACTAACTGATGATGAACAAAAGGTTTTATTGCGGTATTGGCTTATCCAAGGAAAGCTGGCCCAATGTCAGGATGATATTCAAAGCGCCTATGATTTTTATGAAAAATGTAAAAGACTGCTGAAAGCAAATGCGTCTCTCACTACCATGAATATAAAAAGGTAACCTAATGCACATCTTTAATGAATGCTCACTCTCCTTTCTTTTTTTCTTTAAAAAAAAAGTATGTATGACTCCTTTATTGACCTCAACAGCATCGAAAACAAGTTATCCCTACTACAAGTGGGGAAACTATTGATCCAAGCCAAAGAAAAGAGCGACATTGGCGATTTTTCTACAGTCATTGAAGTGATCAAACCTATGATTAAGTCAAATCTTGATATAGATGATCCTATTGGATCTGACGAAACGATTCAAATGACCCTCTTGCTTGCAAAAGCATACGTTCAAGCGAAACAACATGTGGAGGCGTGGAATAGCTATAAACAAGTCTTTGTTGCTTTAATTAACCAGCTCGTGACTTATGGCTTTAGACAGTTTCAATCGAAATCAATCTTGTGTAAAGACGAAGATACGCTATTTTTCAAAATGGGAAAGCATTTGGCTGAAGTGATGGATGAACTTGTGACGCTGCTACAACATCCCAAGTCGGATGGTAAACGTCATAGATCCACTTTTATATTGTGTACTCATTTATACTGCAGAATGGCTCATTAACGTGGTGGATAAGGACTTTATGGATGGATTATCCGTTTTGAAAAGGATGACATTATTCTATATATTTAGACATCCAGACTTTGTTCCGCTTGTCAACAACTTTAGCTCACCAGACAGCATCCCTCATACACCGTCTCGAACGACAAAGTCGAACAGATTTAATTCTATTGTAGTCAAAGCATGGGTCATTAGTTCGCACATTATAAAGCAAGTGCTGGCATCTCAAGTACAGGATACCCATAGCATCAGATATAGCTGGGTAAAATTGCTACAGGAACTGCATGATGAACTTGGAGAAAGAGAGATTTGCTGCGTAGCGAACAGTAAGAGATTATTTGATCTGTTTAAAAAAGACTAACGGTTCATATATATATATAGACGCCTTCTTGCATCATCTATTAGACTGCTTAATAGAGATGGATGGTCAGGCATTTCGAAAAGACATCTATCAATGTTATCATTGTATATATGGTGTTCACCTTGGTGTAAGCCTTATTTAAACCCGAGTGAACTATGTGTATTAATTTATGTTTAGGGTGAATCTGATTTAATCGAAGAGCACTATTGTACACATATAAGCATGGACCAAAAGGCTGCTGAACGCTTGTTTAACCTGGTTGCGGATGCGGCAGTGAAACGATTGAAGAGCGGATCATTATTAAAGGGCGACCTTAAAGAAGTTGTAGAAGCCGTGTCTGACCTGTTTGAAGAGCTTCCCAAGGTGGACAACCAAAGCCCTATACATTTCAACAGAACAATCATCAAAAATCATTTAGATAGAGACATTAGTCTTTCATCGTCCATTACCGGTTTATATAGAAAAACGCTTATACCTACTGTGCCTATTGATGAAAAAAAGCATAATATATCACGTAAGCTAATTTGGTTATGGCCAACATGTGTCTCAACGGGTTCTGTAGACGTTTACTATAAAATATTTTGGATTCGAGGCAAGACACTTCGTATTCAAATTAAAAATAGGCCCAAGATTGCTAGTGAGAAAAACATGGTTGACCTTGAGACGGCTATAGATGAATTCACTGTAAGAGGACCGAATCAAATGATATAAGCTAACTTTTGTCTATTAGTCGCATTTAATACTTAATCCTGATGATAGTAATGCCTGGTATGACCTTGGAGCATGTTATCACCAGCTTGCAGATGAAGAATTGCACTGGAGTGCAACGAATGTGAATTCTCATAAAAATCTTATTGCAGAGTATCAAAAGGTAAATGTGAAAACAAGGGAAGCATTTGTATACGTATGCTGATTTTTTTTCTCTAGAAAGCGCTCCATTCGTTGTTAAGAGCTATTTACCTTGGAGGTTTAGCACTAAATTCCTCTCAAAAGCATGAAATGTTTATGCAACTGGGCGATCTTTTGTATTCTATGGCTAGTCCACCTATGGATATGTTGGCTCTTAAGCCCGAAGAAGTCAACAATTACCTGGATGCTGAGGGCACCCTTGTGAGTGTAAAGAAAGAGATCCCTCATCGGAAAGCGGCATATAAACTATCTCTGGCGATGTATATCCATGCGTTTAAAAATAAGCTTCCACAGAAACAGCAATGGCCGTAAATACATGATGCATACTCGAGATATAGTTTCTTATTTTATATATTTAGGTGTTACTATGCAATAGGCAAATGCTTTGCAAAAATTGATCGTCCACCCAAGGTAAACATAGGAGGGCATCATTTCGCTACAGGTAATAACTTTTTTTGTCATTAGGAAGTGCTTGATTGGTTCATACATGCTATCCGCTTGGGTGGGCATAATGAAGGGTCAAAGGAGGGTCCATTTGAGCCAGTCTATATCCTTTGCTCTTACCTTACCAAATATCTTTACCAACAAAAAATTAGCGCAAATCTTGTAATGGAGTACTTGAGGATGGAGGCGAGTATAAGAGCAGCACAAATGACAAACGGACCACCTGAAGAGCTAGGAATGAATACCTTTCATATTAACTCGGTTGAGAATCATGGCCTAATAGAAAGTGCGGCTGGCTATATGCCCTTAGATGTCGCGTCTGCCTATTCAGCCATTCTCAAGCGGCTTGTGGACATTACACATGCAGATACAAAGAACTGGCATCACCGCCCAGTCTATCGAGTAAGGAAATAAGCATAACATTCATGCATTATTAACTATTTTCTTAAAATAGATTGCATGGATACATTACCATATTTTCCGTAATGCGGACAAGGCCAAATCTGAACTTGTCAAATTATTTACTTTAAAACCAACCATAAAGAATCACATCAACATCTGGAAACCAACTTTGGAACTGTAAGTTATAAAACTAGTTGACATAACAAAACTAATAAGATGATAGGCCTGGAAAACATTATGTCTATATCCACAAATACACCATGTTCCTTATCAAGCTTGCCAAAGAAACTCGAGATGAGAATACTTTGGATCAATTGAACCGTAAACTCCGTAAAGCTCAGAGTCTTTTATTGAATTATGAACAAGTGATGAATGAAATATCACATATTGAAAAGTCTGAACAAAAGGATTAAATAAACTTGTACAGAGAGATTATTCAAAGGGGAGATGGAGGCAAAATAAGTTTATAACTCGGAAGTTTTTGATGGTATGGCTTTTTTTTTTTGCATACTAAGGTTGACAGTTTTTTTAAAATTTGACAATTCAACTATGTCAATTAATTCCCCTTTATTGGATCTATTGTACCTTTGTATTGTAAATAGATATCGGAGAATTCAGTTGCTATTGTTTTGAACTGGATATATTAGTCAGGCTATACTTGAACTTATTTAAAAATAGCTTTATTAAAATTGTTCGATTTACTATCGCCCAGCCTTAAGGAGATTTTTTTTGTGAAAACACACACGCCAATTAAGGGGTGGACATTGTCTTCTATTATCCCTTTCAAAAAAAGGGAGTAAAATAAACGATGTGGGAAAACAGCCCAGGCTTAAAAAAGACCTGTATGTAGACTTGACATTTAAACACAAAAAGGAAGAGAGAGAAGAGAAAGAATGAGTTCGTTAGAGTTACTTTTACTGCGAGTGGTTTTTATCACAATGTTCTCGGCTCCTATTTTATTTTGAGCCTTTTGGAGGCTATATAAGCTTCGAATTCTTGAGATTTTATTCACTTTTCGTTTACTTTTTCACTCTCTCCCTTTTTTTACATCCAAAAAATGCAGATCCTCTCTTACAGTGTTTGTCTCTTCTTAACCGCATCTCTTGTTCATGCCAGAGTCGTTCAATTCAACGTAATATCTCCGGGCTCCAAGACCGTTCAGGTCAAGGTGAATGGCAAAGTGGGCAACTTACAGCCTGTCAGTCCCGATGTTCCCTTGTATACTGGTGCATTCGAAATTGGCCATGAATCTGTATACACTTATATAGCCGATTCAGAACCAGAAGAATTCAAGCGAAAGTTGGACCCCAAGACAAACAAGACGCTGAACGAATTCTTTGGACGACCCATCACGTATGCATCCATTCCTCCTCTTCCTCGCCCATTGGACAATGGCAAACAATGGACTCGTGCCGACAAAAATCCTGATCTCTTTGACACCAACTATATTCCTACCGTCTTTGTTCAAGGTGACCCTGAAGATATGGATACGCTAGTCTCGACCGTTCCTAAACAAAAGTTCAAGGTGACACTGACGATGGTTGGCAAGGACTATTATAGAACCTTTCACGATGTCAAATTTAGCATCACAGGAGCTGGAAAACGCCACAATCCTGCAAAACAATCTTGGAGATGGACCTTTGCTGACGGAGATTTTATTAATCACCGAAACAACTTCAAGATTCGCAATATGGAAGAAGATCCTACACAGATGCGTGAAAAGCTCTATGCAGACTGTCTGCGAGCTATGGGAACGTATGCCAATCAAGCAAATATGGTCCGACTGTTCATCAATGGTAAAGGCTATGGTACATTCAACATGTTGGACGATATTCCAAGATACTCTTATATCCGTGCAAACTTTTACGCTGGCCATCCTCCAGAACAGATGGGCCCCCTTTACAATGGCGCAACTGGTGCTAGCTTTGATGTGCTGAACCCTAATGAATACACTATGTTCAAGCCTTCCAAGGATTCCCCTGAGGACGCTGATGCCATTTTAGAGTTAGCTCGGGCGTTTGATGAATTGGATCTCAAGAATGACAAGGACATTGCCGAGTTTGATAACAATGTGTTTGATGTCGACCAGTTCCTCCGTTTCATGGTGATGGAGTACTTGGCTGGTCATTGGGATGGTTACTGGATGGAACAGACCAATGACGGAGCTTACAAGGATTACGCCAATAATAACAAATGGTACTATCTTGGTCAAGATTACGATGCAACATTTGGTGTCAACTTATCAAAGGACGTTTTGAAGATCTCTTACAAGGATTATCCTACACACTATCCTGGTGGTACCTTTATCAATGGATTCCTCGAAAACAAGAACCTTCATGCTCGTTTTGAATCCTATCTAGTAGAGACCGTCAAGACACTGTTCAACAATAGAACGCTCGGTGAGCATATTGTCGCTTATCATCAATTCCTCGCACCTGATCTCGAATGGGATCGCTCGATCAAGCAACTTTCTCCTGGTATCAATTTTGGATGGTCATTCAAGCAGACGTATGAAAATCTTTTCAAAAAAGTGCATTCACCCAATCACAATGGTGGTGGAGCAGATTATGGTCTGACGGAATGGATTGATAAAAAGTCAAAGTTTGTAGCAAAAGACTTGGGTTTTAGTATATAAAAAAAAGTCAATAACAAAAAAAAGAAAAAATTGTATCATCATATAATAAAAATCTCTTTCTCTTCTTCTATCATGTATTACACTTGTTTGGTAAATTACAAAAAGACTATCAATAAAGTATAAAGGGGAGAAATTTTAATAACGACAAGGTTTTCTTTTCTAAATATAATTTCTCTGGGGAATGTATACTTGTTTATAAAAGGATGCTGTAATGAGGTAATAGAGTACAAAAATAGTGCTCTTTTTTCTTTTTCGTCTATTATCATGGTCACGTTCTATTCTACTGATCCAACTAATCACAGCAGATACCTTGCATCTGTTCTGTAGTTTTATTTATAGATGCCTGTCTGTAACTTTGTTCGGCATTTCAATTTCATAGTTATAAACCTTATACTTCTTTTTTCCCCCTCTTTCATCTTTTATCTTTCTCTCATTTTCTTTGTCTTCATAATATATATTTTATAATAGAAAAAATATTAAAAATAGTGACGATACAGTTGATAACGAAATATCTAAAAAAAGAACAAGACTATTAACAAAATACTCATTTCAACATGACATCAACGGCAGTAAGGTATTCATTCATCTTGACTTCATCTTTATTCCAATATAGACTCATATCTTGTAGGGTTGGTTTGCGCGTTAGACCGTTAACACAAAAAGAACAGCTCTCCAACTGCACAGAATGTATAAGCTTTATCCCCAATGAACCACAAATTTTACTTGGAACAGATAAATCATTTACATATGACTATGTGTTTAGTAACGACACTAGACAAGAAGAAGTATATCAAAAGGCTGCTGCACCATTATTAGAGAAATTTGTTGAAGGGTAAAAAAAATAAAAATAAAAGATATACTAATGTCTGTGCGGGCAACTTAGGCTTTTTTTTATAGGTTTAATGCCACTATTCTTGCTTATGGGTACAAGATACATGTCATTATTTATATTCAATACTCATATTTAAAAACAGTCAAACAGGATCTGGAAAGACGTATAGTATGGGCACTGGATTAGAGGCAACAGTGAATCCCGAACATGAAGGTATGTGTGCACAAACCTCTGTTTCTTGTTTTTCTCATCCATTGTACAACTTTGACAGGAATTGTACCACGTTGCATCGTTGACCTATTCCGAAAATTACAGGCGCAGTCCGAGCCAGAGTTTAAATACGAAGTCTATGTGTCCTTTTTGGAACTGTATAATGAAGAGCTGATTGATCTATTAAACCCTCATACAGCCATGAAGAAGAAGGGCGCATTGCCTGCCAATGTGACTCCGGTAGAAGTGACCATTCGAGAAGATATCGCCGGAAACATCTATTGGAGCGGCGTGAGGGAAGAGCTGTGTCATAGCCCTGAAGAACTCATGTCTTATCTTGCCAAGGGCTCTTTGTGTCGTACTACGGGCTCAACTGACATGAACACTGTCTCTTCTCGATCCCATGCTGTCTTTTCGGTGATTTTAAAGCAACAAAAATCAAAGGATGAACCTGCATTGACGAGTAAATTTCATTTTGTCGACTTGGCTGGTTCAGAAAGAGTAAATAAGCTGTTCTATGAGTTTGTAAAACGATGACTAATACAAGATATATAGCTCAAGCGTACCAATGCTCAAGGCGATCGTGCAAAAGAAGGCATCTCCATCAACTCTGGTCTCTTGGCTCTTGGCAATGTAATCTCGGCTTTAGGAGATGAATCTCGCAAGACGACGCATGTTCCTTATCGTGACAGCAAGTTGACTCGTTTACTACAAGATTCATTAGGTGGAAACAGTCAAACGCTCATGCTTGCCTGTGTATCTCCTGCTGATTCTAATTTTATGGAAACCCTCAATACGCTCAAATACGCAAACCGTGCCAGAAACATCAAGAATCGAGTGACCATCAATCAAGATTTTGCAGGGTCCTCTATGGAAGTCAACCAGCTTCGTGCTCAGTTGGCTCGATTAAGACTGGAACTGGCTTCAGTTAGAGCAGAGGCCTCATCCAATGGCTCTCTTGGTGCGGATCAGGAAGTCCGTGCTCTACGGGCCGAAGTATCACGATTACGTGACCGGATGCAAGATATGTCGACGACCATTATCCAACTTACCAGTGAGCGTGATACGATGATCATGGAACGTGAACTTGGTGAGTTTATCAATGATCAAGAAAGCATGACACGAGCCGTCGCACCATCGGGCAATGACCCAGTCAAGGCCCACCCACTTGTCGCACAGTATCAAAAGACCATCCAGGACCTCACCAATGAGCTATCCGACACGCGTGATAGATTGGCTTTTGTGGAGAGTACAAAGGCGACCAACATGCATGCAACGCCTATTTCCTTTTCGAGTACATTTTACCCCGAACACCACTCATCTTCTCACCGTCGTCGTACGCATGGCAATCATAGCAGTAATAGTAGTACCCGGTTCAGAAGAAAGAGATACCCCAGAAACTCTTCTGCTAATTCGAGTGCTGTTACCGCCATGTCAGCCCGAAAGACATCCGGTGTCTCTGTTCGACGATCACCGATTGTGTCTCGATCATCTAGTTTAAAGACATCCAGAAGGAGAAACGAGAATGATCAAGAAGACGATGAAGGTTACATTAATGAGGATGACCATTTACTCCAAGACGAAATTAAACAAAGCATTGCAAAAGCCAAAGCTGAAATACAAAAGGGCATGGAAGTATTAGACCTCTTGAAACCCATGGAAGATGCTACTCGCACTTGGGAAGAAGAACTCGAAGCATTTGAAAAAGCAGAAAAGGCCATGTACGAAAAGGCAAACCAAATTGAGCGTTCTGACTCGGATGAAGGCAATTACACATCGACCTCTTCACCCATCGATCATGGCGATATGGACCTGGTGATGGAAATCGAAGCCTTATCTGTACCCTCCTGGGAACCCCATACGTCTAGAAGCACGGCAACCAAAAAGACGCTAGGAAACCATGTCTTTGACGATGCTGAAATCGGATCCGCCTCATCCACAGATTCTACAGCCATTGATTCTGTCGCATCCTCTGTTCATAACGAAAAGCCAAACCCACAGCTCGCTCGCATGCTTCACCAGATTCAATCCGATATCCGTGTCAAGGAAGAACTCGTGACCCATTTGGAAAAGACAGAGACCAAGTATGCGTTTATGCGTCGTAAATTTGACGAAAAGATTGCTCACCTCCACCAGCAACTGATCGAGCTTCAGTCGGAGCGAGATGAGGCACTGGCCAAGACCAAGCAGGCGTTTGCCGCCAATGCGTCTCATCGAACAGACGTCACCGCTCAGATGAAAGAAAAGCAGCAGCTGCTCGATACACGTCATGCCTATGAGACCAAGATGAAACAACTTGTCACAGAGATTCATGAACTCAAGCGCAACTATAATCGCACGATTACCAATATGCAATCGACCCGAAATCAACAAGAGTCACTGCTGAGAACCCTTCGTGTGAACGTGGAAACGCTCAAGGTAGAAAAGAAACGCATGATCAAACGAATGAAGCAAGAGACGGAGCGAGTGCGAGAGCAGATGGCGATCCAAGAACGAAAGATATCCAAGCTGCAGAGACAGCATTCTGAAATCAACCATGTTCGTCTAAGACTAGAACGTGAACATGAAGCTCAAAAGGCCACCCTAAAGCGTCGTGATAAGGAGATCTTGATCAGTCAGAATCAGGTCAAGATGTTGACCGATCTGGTCAAGAAAGCTGTGCGTGAGGGCGGTGTATTGGACGAACAGCTCTTGAGCAAAGTATCTCATATCATTGGTGGAAGTTTTGCAGCGGTAGCTCGTCGTGGAGGTATGCGTAACCTTCCTGGTTATCGTCCACCACGTCGTCGTAAGAACCCAGTTCCGGTCGAAGTCCGTGTGTCTCGCAAGAAGCAGTTACTGGATAAGATGCTGTACCAATATATTCAAGGCAAACAGGCTATTGTTGAAATGGAACAACTCTTGTTTAGAAGAGAGAGATTGGCGGCTGAAAAACTGGAGCTCTTGGAGGAGCGTAAGAATATATACATGGCTGAAAGGGAGACGTCTGAACTCACAGGACAGCCTATGGATACCCTGGCTATTGATTTAGCCGATGAACGTGTAGATCTCATAGAAGCTGAAATTTCATATCTCTCTGCCAGAATCAAGGGTCTACAGTCAGAAGCCGCAGGCGAAGCGGACGAAGCACAGTCCCCTGAAGCAGGAAAACAACACCACGAAAAGCGAAAGGTGACATTTGCTGATGATATCGTCACTGACCCACCACCAAGCGACGAATGGACCGATATGGATGTGTTAGAAGAACAGTTTAATGTTCCAGCCAATGCTGCTCCTGAGCTTGTATACGATGCCACCATCAGGTTGTTAAAGTCATTGGAAGTCGATGAGTGTCGAAATATCATTGAGGCCCTGGTAGACGATATATTCAATTCACGTATGAGTGAATGCAGTCGACAGATGACGATGCAGAATTTGGAAAAGACCGTGCACGATCTTCGCCGAACCCTGATCGTCATGAAGCGTGCAGCTATTGCAACCACGGTAGAAAATGAACGTAGGATCAGAAAGCTGGAAGAACGACACAAGGGTATGAACCAACGTTCTGACCGGATAGATACCAAGATTGAGGATTATATCATGAATAGCGGAAACACCATCTTTGATAAAATCTATGAAGATGGGCTCCGAGGCTTGCTTGGAACTCCTGAGCCTGAATATACCATGCATGATTCACCCGATGAAGCGTCTGTGTCCACTTGTAGTTATGAAAGAAGAAGCAGCACCCATTCGGATGGCCTTTTGCCTCCCCCATCTCCCATTACCTTACCAGCTTATACGAGTAGTACCATGACAAGGACACCGAGCGGTATCAGAGCACCTGCTGCCTTGACAGAAAAGGGCAATGCCATACGCACTGCAAGCTACCCTGCACGTGAATCGACGCCTTCTCCTGACCGTTTCTATAATATGATCCAAAAGCGATTATCCTGGCAACAGCGTACAGGCGGATCCGAATCACCTATTCATATGACCTTGATGAATCCAGCCGAATTTGCACGATATGCAAATGATCGAGAATCATCAACCTCATCGATTCGCAGTGGTCACTTGCGCCGTGCCTCACTTCAATCCGACTACTCCTCATCACAGGCATCCCATAACAACACCGTATCGTCGTCACAAAGCTCGTTGCTGCGTAAACGTTCCTTCTCGGTACAACAGCCGCCGATCCAACCACAGCAACTGCTACAGCGTCGCCGTGCATCGCTTCGTGAGTTATCTCTCAAGGGAACAAATATGCCGCCTGTGGGGAGTATGATGGCTAGCAATAGTAATCATTACATGGCCGAATACGACTATGAAGGTATCATGACGCCCACCATGTCATTACAAAGAAGTCCAGGACAGCTCTTGAAGAGACAATCGCTGATCAGTTCGTCTACGATCGAACGTGCCGGTACACCTACGAACGGTAACGTCTTTGATCGTCTATCACAAACACCCACCCGAGCTTCGCAAGCCAAGATATCACACAGACATAGTAGTAGTAGTATGGACGAATTGAGAGCAAGATGGGAATACGAACGAACACCGAGTGCGATGAGTGGAACGTATCAGGATGATTAAATATATGTATATACCATTGTTGTTAATTAGGTTATACTCTCTTTGTAATTTATTTTTTAATATAAACATATATTTATTCGTCCAGTTCTTCTTCCAGTTCTTCTTGTTTATCCATAGAGTATATATTCAATAGACCGTTGGACGCCACAGTGGCAAATACACGTCTATTAGGTAAGCCATTACATCCTATGTTGACATCAATCATTTTGTTCAAGAGTAAATGCCTCTCATGTTGTGTCTATGAGTTCATTAGACATGCATCTTTGATATGTAGTATGTACCTCTAGATCTATGGACGTTAATTCAGAGCGTTGATGAGTGTAGCTGATATGGTTTAACAATAGTGTATATAAAATAGTGATATCTGAGGGAAAGATTGAAAAAGATGTAAAATCATGTATATTCTATTTATTTATTTATTTATTTATTTATTTATTTTTTTTTACCTTGTCCAGTTTTTACAAGAATACCCAGTTCTTTATCATCAAAGAACTTTGCATCCGAGATATCGCCATTTGCTATACTTATGCATGCGTACTGTGGCATCTGATTCGAAAAATCAATTTTTAGCAAAATTACTATATAATACATTAGTACTATTTGTTCAACAGCATGACTCACGTACACTTTTGTGGGTTCTGCAAAAGGACATAATAAAGGCAGTTCTCTGCTGTGATACTCTTTTAAAAGATATGAGGCATCAAGTAGTTATTCCATTTAAACACTTACTGATAAGAGACTATTAGATTCATGTAATCGATACTTTGCAAACTTGATATTCATTTCTTTCGATATAGTCTCTGAAGGCCTTTGAAACATGGATGTATAATGATCGACTGTATCTGATAATAACTTGGTTATACATGCATCGTTCCCTAAACTATGTTAATAAGTAGAAAAGAATAGTCTTGTTTGGTTACCATTGGATTCAATAAAGAATTTGGCAATCTTGTCCGTCACAAACCATTCTTCTAGATACTCGAACACCCATTCGGGTTCTTCACAAAGTGTTGGTTCGTTTTGTAATTCAGCTGATTCGGGGTCTGCTAGTTTGGAAGAGACTGTTGTTTTTGGTTAGCACACAAGTAAGAGAGGGTACGTGTCATCAAACCTTTGATAATCCATGCAATAAATGCTCCAAACAGCTTTATCAGACGTCTTATATGCTGTGCTAAATCCCGGATCAGAACAATCAACTTGTTTACATGATCGATACACGATTCAACCGAGGCCACGTCTAGGAACGGTTCGTATCGTTCTTTCCTTTTATAAAAAGAAAGCTTAATGACGGATTCATACTTTGTATCTTCCAGGTTACCATAAGCTATGGCCAAGAGAATCGCTTAGTTGAAGTAGTATTCTTTCAAACACAGGTAATGCATGCTCGCATATGATTCGTAAAGAGCTTTGGTAGCCATGGTTATTGGTCGTCTCCCATTGTTTGATAAACTACCACATGTTAATCTAATGGCTCCAAAAATGTGGTTTATTACCTGTGGTGTTAATTCATCTGTTATTAATTCTCTTATGGCCTGTGATAAGTTGCCTGTCGCCAATATCGCAATGAATTCTACCTCTGGAATTGGTTTTTGAAGCTCGCCTATGTAGATGGACAAAACATCAGGGAAAGGCTTTCAAACTGACTTTTTGGATGTTTTTGTTACCGTTATTGCTGATAATAGCATCTGAAGCGCTTACAACGACATTCTTTGTAAGTTTTGTGTAGGAGCTATGATGGTCTTTTAGCGTCTCGATGACATGTATTGCATATTGAAATAGATAATCCAGACGTGTCTTTATTTCGGCAACTCTGGAGATCTCTTCCTTTTTGGATTCTAAAAAGCTCGTATCGACCGTAAACAGACAGGGCTCGTTTGTCAATTTGGTGCATCCAAAGACTTTGATGGATGATATAGTGCTTGCTGCAACAATATTAAGTATAGAAATATCCTTTGCTGTCTATATTAGATTAGGAAAAGCATTATTTCTTTATGTGTATATACCTTTTCTTGTGATAGGTTAAAAGTACCAATCTGATAGACCCCGTTCAGGCTATATAAAATTCAATACCTCTATCTCAAATAGAATATCCACCCTTACATAGCAATCATATCACCATTGTCTGTACCCACAAACAAAATAGACTGAGTTTCTGCATTATCAAAAGGTCTCTCTGGTAATGTTTTCTTCTTGTGTCGAACATTGATTTTTATGCTATGATAATTATCAGTATTGGTAATATACACTCTATTATCTATCTTGCCTATTACGTTGGTTCAATAAGTGGCAGGTGGCTTAACGTTGGTAAACTCAATTCTGGATCAAATGCAGTGGGATCGAATCCTTCCTAAATAACCAAGATGTATCATGTTTTAAATGAAAGGCAGTATTTAACTTACAATGATTTCATCCTTCTTTTCTGGTCCATAATGTGTCCAAAAAAGCGATTTGATAGCCGATAATGGACGACTTGACTTTTCAGGGGGCCAACACTGGCATATGCAAAGTGATTCATATCGTGTATCCACTTTATACACTACCCCGTTCTCACAACCAATAGCCAACTCTTTGCCTAATCAACCTGTTAATCTTAATTTATTGAAATCTCTCAAGTACCATCTGGCTTCCAAGTAACTGAAGTAATGGTCGAATCAAAGGCTGTTTCTGATGACCACAAGAGCGTCAGTTGCTTGATTGCAACACGGTATAATGAAAGCGCGTTATCTGGTGAGACAATTAGTAGTAGATCCGAGACTGGGCACCATGAAATAAACTTGGCAGGATCAGTTAATATCCGTTTCGCAAAATGTGTAAAGTCATTATTTGACATTGTAAAGGGGAAAAAAGGAGGAGATTTTTTGACGTCGTATTTTGAATTAGTTTTCTCGAGTGTACCACAGCATTAACAAGGCATAAACCAGTTTGGTCAAGGGCATTCTTTTTTGAAAATGAGGACTTGAAGCTATGCACGCAGCGATTGTTAAGGAGATTTTGTTTGGCAGAAACAACTTGATGTATATGATCATAAGCACTCAGTTTTGATGGACGTATATTTCAAGATGCCAAGCCGGCACTTGGCGATGTTGTACATTTAAGGAGTGGTAGCACTAGAATGCGTGTATACAAACAAATATATGCTTGTTTGTTTTTTCTTTCTCTCCTCATTATTAATGTCTGTCAACGTTACTATTCATAAGCCAGACGATGCTTCAGCTGAGTTACCTCCTCCTCCTTACTCAAGAGAGCCAAGAACGTCAGATACAGGCGCTTATGGTAGCATAAATGAAGAACAAGTAAGGCTACTGGGCAATACACCTCCTATATCAAAACAGTCCAATAATAACCGTGGCTTCTCTGACGGCCCCCGTAAGTTACTCGTTTCTTGTATAGACAGAGCGTTAAACTCCCAAGTTCAATAGATGCATATCATACAAACGTTCAGACAGAAGAACCAGTGGAGCGTACCTCAAGTAGATGTCATCCAAGCTGGTGTGTATTTATATTTGTAGCTATATTAGTCACCATTGTTACATACACCTTCAAAGCCAAGTCAGTACGAGGCGGCCGTTGCTCAGGCTTAGTGCCCTGGGAAAAGTTTCCAGAGGCCATTGAATTTGAAAGGAATATTAATATTACTCTAGATGGTCGAACATCCAGTGGCCAACTTACGATTATTCCAGTTGAATCTGGAGGAAGAATAAAGGGCACTATCGAGGTTACACCTGACCTTCAGGAGAATATATCCCTTGACATTGACGGCAATAGCAGTATAACCACAGTATTGCTCAAGACACCCAAGTGGGCGCATAACTGTATCCGTATTAGTATGGATGTATATTTGCCTTATGATACCCGAGAAGTCTTTATTACGTTTAATAATGTGGATGTAAAAGTAGAGCCATTAGTGAAGGACTTACAGAAATTACACATCAAGAACGCCAATGGAGACATCACATTAAATAACTGGACCGGAAAGACTTTGCAAATTAATAATGCAAATGGAATTATATCTGTTACAGAGCAGCTGAGAGGAGATGATCTCATCTCTATCAAAAATAAAAATGGTCCGATTGACTTGATGGACGTGGAAACCAAAGGAAATGCGTATCTTACAACCTCGAATAGTCGCATACAAGTGCTAGGATCACTTCAAGTGGATGATCAAGTTCAAATTCAATCAGCTAATGGCCCCGTTCAGTTATCAGGGCGCGTTGCATCAAACAGGTTCAATGTTGAAACAGCCAATGGAAACATTCAAGTGTTGGATGAAATAGTGGCCAAAGAACAAGTCATTCTTCGAACCTCAAATGGGCACATTGTGGCGAATATTGCTGGTGAAAAGAACAATAATGTGTTTATAGCATCCAGCAACGGTTGGATTGATTTACATATGGTATGATTCATTTGTATGACATGGAGATACTTATTACTTTATAGACCAATGAATTTGAAGGCAAGTTTGCATTCACCACATCTGGTTCAGGCAAGATTCATGTAGCGCAAGATGAACAAGTACATTATGTGGAAAATAATAACTATATCAAGCGAGGCTATCGGCATAAATCGGATGATAAGGGTGATCTTACAGTAATGACTAGTAATGGAGGCATTAAAGTCGCGTTTGACATTGACTCGACTTCTAATGAATAAAGAAAATGACTGCGATATTCTAATAACTATACTTCCTTGGAGTGAGAGATCTGAATTTCTACTGAGATACCACAAACGAGTGCTTCCTCAACAGGTATAGCCATAATTAAGCTACCTTGCCTTGAAACAACTATCTAAGCTCACATCAACTACGCTCTCACTGTAAACAAAAGTATAGATAATGCGAGAGTATTTAATTATTTGCAATGTTAGTCTACATTTTCTGTAGAGCTACCGTACTTTATTAACTTTATACGCACAAAGGTTTTACAGCTATTAACAACAATGCAGTAAATCCAAAAAACTAGATTCTTATGACAAAGCATTAACGAAAGCTTTCTTTATTGCCAATTTTAACCTCCACATAGTCTAAGGACAGCATAGCACTACGATAGTTGGATATATCTTTTTCAGAACGTACACATTATTTACGACGATAAAAATTAACAAGCGTATAGAGCTTATCTATTTCTTGCAAGTCTCTTTTTTTTGCATTTTCTTTGGGGAAACACTACATGCACAGAAAATACAACAGAAGTTAGACTAACACTACGGGCGCTACCTCTACCCTTTACCTATGATATCACCCAATAGAGCTTTTGAATGTACGACGCTGCGCTAAACATGACTTTATAAAGTTACCAACATATTTTGTTTCTCTTCAAGAAGAGATAAAAAGAAGTGTTGTTATTTATCCTAATCTTATGTTGTCAGTTGATCAAAAAAGACCACTTATGATAAATTTGTATTTACACTATTTAGCCTATTTTCTGGTGTATTTTCTGGCATGTAGCATTCACCTTTTTTTGGCATAGTGATCGTGCAAAGCTCTACGAATGTATAGACTTTGGGGAAGAAAAAGATTCAAAGCATAAAACGATATTCGATTTCCTATAAAAAACATATGAATGCCTTCTCCTTGCTTTAGCAAAATATCTATTACCAGTTGCTTGAGATTACTCCCTTCAAGTTTTCTTGTTTCAAGGCTTTCTTGCTGAACAAGGCCATCCGATAGAGGTCTCTCATTATCCCTATTTTGGTAGCTTCAATCTTTATTTCACCCACACGATTTGCGTATTGGCATTCACCTCCATAGTAGGCATTTATGTAGTCTGGACGACTGTTATTTGTTATTTGGCCCATACCAAACAATTTATTGCATCTAAGCACTCGGCTATTCTATTAGCATCTTCATTACTATTCTGCGCCACTTGCTTACTTACACATGAGGAACAGTTTTTGAACTATGCAACTTAAATAATGTTGATACCGCCAAGTGTTTCTCTGGTACTGGAAATATGTCACTCTCTGAAAGCAATAGTGCCCTACATTGATCGTTAGCCATCATTAGTGTGTTGGATATAAATCATTATAATGCTTTATAACCTTACAGTAGAGCATACATTCTACTTTACATTCCTCTGTTGCATCTGATGAAAATAAAGAATAAGAGTACCAATAACAATAGTTAATCGCACTGATAACATTATAAATAGGAGTCATAGATTCTGCAGTGCTCTTAGGGATCACATTCTGAAACGTAGATCTCGGGCCGAACGCTTAGGGATCATGCCTAGGATGACGGGGTTCATATTAAAATAGTAGGTATGTGGGATGATGTCGTTAAGGATCGCGCCCAAAGCGGATTATTCTTCCAAAATGAGTAAGACTCTTCCAACAAGCTAAGCACCATTCTCTTTTAGGGTATCGTATTGTTCTCTTCCCAGGTCCTGCTGACAGCATCTTGTTAATTGAATCTGATGAAATTGAAGAGTATTCAATCCTTTTTCTTTATGTATGAGCTAATTGATATCTATAATAAACTATATAAAGTCATTTCTGATCATAATCAAGTCGGAGAATAATACGATACCCTAAAAGAGAATGGTGCTTAGCTTGTTGGAAGAGTCTTACTCATTTTGGAAGAATAATCCGCTTTGGGCGCGATCCTTAACGACATCATCCCACATACCTACTATTTTAATATGAACCCCGTCATCCTAGGCATGATCCCTAAGAAAAACGTAGATCCTGTACCTAAGTAAACCCTTTTCAGCTTCTTTTTATAAAGAATCTATACTTAAATGGTCCAGCCAGATCCATAGCGTAAGAATCACCAAGCATGTAGCTGTATACAGGTTTCTGAGGGTTATAGCCTCTTTTATGTACATTGTACTTTTGGCAAGTAGGGCATTGACTGACATATTGGACTGCATTCACCAATAGATTCGATCAGTGCATGTCTAAGCTATGAGTGTGCTTGAGGATATGATCAGCACCAAAGTGACCAAATTTGCATGCTTCATTTAGAGTGTCTTTTCTACAACTTCACACTACCTAAGGCTGTTCGTAGTTACCTTGGTGAAGTATCCTGCATCCACAAGCTGGGGTTTGCGGTGTGCATGATTAACCACTTGCATATATATATATATATATATATATATACATGATACTATTGGTATTTTATATTCGCAATCTTTTTAAATAAAAAGAATACTCTAGTATTTTTTTTCTCTACCTTCATGCATAATGAAACTGCTGCGTAAGTAGTATATATAAACCAAAATCAAAAGCTAGAACTAACGTACAAAATAGAAGTTACTAATAGCGATAAAAATTATAGAGCTGAAATGTCTTTAATAATAAATGACGTTGTACGGGTTAAGTCTTTTATTATTTATTCATATAATAAAGAGTTGTCACGTAATCCAAACACTCTAATAACTGGTCTGTACAATGGGCTAATTCTAGGCTATTTAATTTTTTTTCTTTTGTTGTCTTTCAAGCAAGTAAAAGTGGCTGCTTTGGAGGCACATGATGATTGGAGAACTCCTTTCTGGCAGGCTACTGTTAAAAGGCAAAAAAGTAAGCTACAGTTATTTTCTGTATACATCGCAACAACGGTATTGTATGTATCTGCAGCTATTTGGGGAGCATCAACTGTGTCAAACCAGTGAGCAGTGCTAGAGAACGTGCTACGGCCCTTTAACATCCCCTCCATTCTTTCGTCTATGCGATCTGTTGCAATAAAGATATATAAGTTCAAATGTCAAAGTACTTGTCTTTATATAGAGATACTTTGTTTTTTAAATAATGCTCTAGCATTTTTTTTTAACTTGTATGAACTGGTGTTGGTCACCATAAATAGTGGAAGTAAGCCTTGAATGCATCTACTGCAGTATTTTTCGACTCTTCATCTTTACACTTAAATACAAGCTCATAAAATAGCTTCTCAGCACGAAGTTTAACTATGTTACGGCCATTTTCTAATAACGTAATTTAGTAACTATTCCGATATCTCTCCATCATAAATTGTATTCCATTGCTGTAATTTTTCGTTAAGTTCTGAAGTGCATATTTTTGAACGTTTCTTAAAAGGTGAGGATAACACAGCAGTGTATTTGATAAAGGGAAGACCGCTGTAATTCCCCGTCGCAAAGCAGATTCGTTATCCGTAATAAACACATTTGGAAGTTCCAAAGAGGTGTTTGCGATCAAAGCGTCAGGAAACACAGAATCCTTGAATATTTGCAGAGCCCACAAATAGTTCTCAGTTTTCTCATGTTCCATCCACACTCCCGTAGTATGATACGTCGTTAAGGCATCTCTTATGTCTCCTGTAGTGTTAGTCGTGCCAACAATGCTGAGCAACGTCAACCCGTGGGAGTTGGTCTTATACGTGGCATCAATTATAATGCACTCAGGCATACTATGAGCTTCCACAATTGCCTTAGATTCTGCAAAAAAAAACCATGTCAACGACATTGTTGGAGTTGGCTCTAACCTTGACAATGTAACCTTTTGTTTTCAAGTTGTTGACAAAGTTGAGAACTTCACTGGACTCGAATTCCTTTGATTTGAAATGTTGTTGCCTGATGTTGTGCAAGTCTCTGGCTACTAAGTTGTTAATGCCTTGAGCCTTGAGATTCTAATAATGAGAGGGAAAAAAAAGGTTTGTGGTGGATGTTTTCAAAGCATTCACTGTTTCTCTTTACCTCCAAAATAGAGCTCGCATTATACTTCGTGTTTTCAAAAAGATTGCGCAGTGCTGAGCTTCACTGCGTCTAAATGACGAAAAACAGCGTACGTTCGGCAATCCGTAGCCATTTGGTAAGAATGCAGTGCGTGTGATCTGCAAATTTCGAACTGCTGGAATTTGTTCTTGCTTGCGTAAATGTGGCAAGGACAACCAATGCGCTGGGTGTCCTTTTGGCGAACAACGATCTTTTTGTCACCAGAAACACGCTTATGATTGTTTTAATGCTCTTTTCCATGCTTGCACATCAAGTGAATGAACTTTTGGTTTGATTTGTAAGTAACAAACAGAAAGTTGTACTTCACACTAAGACTACTTGGAAAGACATAAATGACGATATAAAAACATACTATTCAATGATACTAGAACAAAAAGCAAAAGAACGCGGATGGAACATCTATAGATGTGTAAAACAATGGGCAGCCAGAGGCTTACTGTCTGATAGATGTAGAAGCAAGAAGCGATCGTCTAAAAATGATCCAAAGGTAATAATGTCA